TCCTCTGAGTTGGGCTCTCCCTTGGTATACACATAGGCATCGGGACCGTAGCGTTGCCCTGGCTTCCCATCTTACGGATCTAGCTCCGACTTCCCCACCTTAGGAGTCACCTGCATGATTCCCTTACCCATCATCTTTCTACCCTCTGACGACCCTCACGCCCTAGTTAGGCAGCCCCGCATGCTTCATCTAGGTGCGCCCAGTATACCAGGTTCCCTTGTTCCCTTGCATGGTCGACCCTCCATAGCGGTCACCCCCTTAGTCGAGCATTACCCGCCCTGATGTTCTATCTATTAGGGTCATTGGTTTTGTTCGCTCCCAGTTCCCTACCCTCATTGAGCCTGATGACATGTGTTTCCCCTGTCACTATGTGTGGATGCCCTTAGGAGTTATCGACCCCTAGGCTGCATTCGCCACCATCCCATCCTTTGGTTTGCGACACACTTCTCCTGTGACATATGATTGACTTGTTGTTGCTTGTTACTCTCAGACTGAGGCTATTGCCTCTGACATTTCTAGGATTTAGTTGTTTTGCTTTTGCTGTTCTTAGGACTTATACACTAGTCAGTTGTTCCCAGACTGAGGCTACTGCCTCCAACATTCCAGAATCTAGTTGTCACTACTTCTGCTTTCCTAGGACATGTATGCTAGTTAGCTGCTTCTGCTTTCCTAGGACATGTATGCTAGTTAGTTCCTTCTGCTTTTACTTAGGTTGTTAGCTGTGACATTGCTGTTTTGTGACATTTCATATCCTAAGTTGCATCGCATGGACTCAACATGGAGCTTGCTCCGCATCCTAGACTACTCAGGTTTTCTTTTCTTTGGTAGAGTTCCGCTTCTTGGCGGAAGCGTGTTTGTATCTAGGCGATCCATCACAGGCTGAGGATCGTGTAGCGGACCTCTGGTTGGTTGGCCTGCGACCAGCCCCTTGGCTTGTTCTCACAGGCCTGTGTTCTATTCGGGGGCAGTCCAGTCCAGTCCAGGCCGGTACCTCTGTCGGTACCAACCAGTCCAGTCCAGTCCCGTCAGTCCGCTGGGGTGTACCCCAACAGTTGTCTGTTTTCAGGATCATTCTACACTTGCACATTTTGGAGTACGTGCATTGGAGTCTTGCGTGGGGAGCTGCGTTGTGCATCTTGCTCCCCCCTTCTGCCTCCATCTCCATCTCTATCACTAGCGGAGCACCACACCTGGTGGGTCCGCTACAATGCTAGACTTGGAAAAGGCATACGACCGAGTCAATTGGTCGTTTGTGCTAGCCACGCTACAGCCCATGAATTTCGGGGCATCCTTCAGCAACTGGGTGGCCGCAATGTACAAGTGCTCCACGGCTTCAGTGCTGGTCAACGGTAAAAGATCGAGAGTGTTTGAGCTATCACGGTCACTACGCCAAGGCTGTCCTCTGACACCACTTCTATCCGTTCTTCAAATAGAAGTGGCATTGAACGCCCTGCGAGCTTCACCACGGATAAGAGGCCTGCAACTGGGCGGAATGAAAGAAGTGCTTACCGGAGCAATAGCAGACGACCTTCTCTTGATAACAGAGGCAACGAAAGAGGCCTCAAAGGAAATTTTAAACCAGTACTCCTCCCTCTTAGAAGCACAGGTGAATTGGGACAAGTCGGTCTACTTCCTACCACAAGACTTTGAGCTACCCGATGACTGGGCTATGAAGAGGATTCGTGAATGGGACTCGGAGAGGTACCTGGGGGTGCAGGTCTCACTCTTCAACATCCGCCCCAATCAAGATGCCATCTTAGCAACAAAGGTAGAAGCAAGAGTCAAGCGATGCAAATCGGCGAAGGGACTGTCGCTGATCGGCAGAGCTACAGTAACTACGGCTTCAATCTTTGCACTGATATGGCACATAGCTGTGGTCATTCTTATCTCAAGGTGCACTTTGAAAAAAATCAGAAGAATGGCGGCTCACTACCTGTGGAAACCAGACGCAGAGGACCAGGAGGGCTTCATCTCCAAAGTAGCCTGGGACAAAGTTCGTTGCCAAGGTCGGAGGGGGGTCTGGGAATAGTGGACCCAAAGAAGCAGAACGTGGCACTGTTGGGGAAGTGGATACAAAACGCCAGCACACAAACAGAACAACGAAGCTGGCTGACGGTAGCGGAGTACATCCTGCAGCAGGAGTTTAATCTGAAAAGGAAGGAAGATGTCTGGATGTGCCTCCTCGACCTCTTATCTGAACCGCAGACGCAGATCTGCAATTGGACTGGCCTGGTGGGTAGCCTGGAAAAACTAAGGGGCCATTCCAGCCCCCCCCTTACGGGCCCCTTACGGGGAGAGAGGAGGTACTCACTCAACTGCTCTTCGATAACCCTGCTATCACCCGATCAGACGGCGCAGTATTCTCAGCAGAAGCTCAAGCTGGTAATTTCGGTAGAAAGTGGATGGAAAGAGGTGTCTCGAGAGTGGGAGACCTCTGGTCAGGAGAGAAGATGGAAAACAGAATCAGAAATCCGGTCAGCATTGGGTAGACTACAGGATGTAAAGAGGAAACTGGATGGGCTGATCGAAGCAATTCCAGGGGAGTGGAAGCGCATGTTAGAAGAAGTCCCAGTCCCAAGAGCGGGCAGCTGGTACAAGCAAGCTCAACCATCAGGCCAATCAGATAAAGTACTCAAGGTGGAAGAAGAGACGGAGTCAGCAGAATGGAAAGTAACAGTATGGGCAGTGGAAGCAAGTCAGGGAGCAGAACAGAAGCTGCGCCTCATGAAGGAAGAAACACAAGACGCAGACACACAACTTACAGCCATCAGAGTGGTGCAGGATTCAGAAGCCAACGGGATACGCGGGTGGACGGTAATCCAGGGAGGGAAGGCAATTCCAGATCTGCGATTGGACCCGAACTCCTGTCAGTGGAGACTTCAGCCCGGATCAACCAGATGCCTGGCAGCATATAATACTAAACTAGGAAGAAGGATCCAGCAGGTCTCCAAAAGCTCAGAAATTGGAACAGAAGTCTGCAACCGGGCAGCTCGAGTTCCAAACCTCTCTGAACCGCCCAGCGTTCAAAAGATGAAATCGGTATGGTCCCAGATTTTGGTGCTTCCGAGTCTGAAACTTGCGAGCTTATTATGGTTGCTCACACACGCGGCCATTCCAACAGGGAAATGGCTATCAGATAAAGGGATGGATATTAACCCCCTTTGCGCTCGCTGCGGTAACAGACAAGAAGAGACACTCCTCCATTTGATCTGGGGGTGCCCGACCTCAAAGCAAATATGGCACTTGTGGGCTACACATTGGCAGAGGATGGGCCCTGCTCTCCAGTGGGACCAGGCCTGGGTATGTACGGTACTCTTACCACCCCTCTTCTACAGCAAGAGAGCGTGGGGATATGTGGCCCAGGCCATCAGGTCAGCCATCATGTGGATCATATGGGAAGACAGGAACAGCATACTCTTCAGAGGAGAGTGGTCTGCAGACATGGCCATGAAGGCCAAAATCAAAGCCCTGATCAGAACCATGATTATGGCAGATTGGATACGTAAAGCAGACAGAGGCCGATCCCCTGCAGGTCGGACTTGGTTCCTCTTCACATGGGCCAGAGGAAACATATTGGCAGCAGTCACACCGGAAGGGAAACTGGTGATCTCCCCCTGGCTGGCGGCCTAATCAGGCAATAGAGCATAAGCTCAACTGAGCAGAGAAGAAGAACTGATTAAAAGAATTAAAGGTAAGGGTAGGACAGAGAGTAAGTGAGGGAGGGGAGTAGAGGAGAGTAGAGAGAGCAGGGAGGGAGTGAGTGAGTATGTGTGTGAGAGAGGAAGAGAGGGAGTGAGGGAGAGAGTGAGTGTGAGGAGAGTGAGTGTGAGTGAGAGAGTGAGAGTGAGTGAGAGTGAGACCAGGGAGTAGGGGAACGTGCTGAGGAAGGTGTTCCCGTTGGGGGGACGACCCACCTGCCCTCTCGGTGGGAGGATAGGTCCACAGGAGGACAAACGGAAAACTCATGAGTTGTCTGGGATCGGGAGAGGTGGGGACTGGGAAGCCGAGATGAAATAGTCTTGGGGGGTCGGCCTACAGGACTCTGTTTGCCTTTTTGCAGACTGGTGGGAGCGAGTACAGCTCAACGGGATAGGTAGTAGGAAGTAGATATAGGTTAGGAGAATCGTCTAGGTGACTATGCAGTTCAGAAGGAACAGAATTGGGAGGGAGGTTGGGGTGGTTTTTTATTTGGATTGGAATGGTTAGTTAGGGTGGCATAAGAGGATAAGCAGTCAAAGCGGACTGGGGTAATGCTCCCTGACATCCGGTCTTTATGTGGGGTGGCCGGGCCCGACCTTTTTTTTTTTCTTTTTTTTTTTGGAGAGTGTATTATTTTATTGCAAAAACCAATGGAACGAGGCCGGGGACCTCACAATTCAACCCGGAGTTATCTTGGCAGCCTGACCATATTTTGCTTGTTAATGAGTACCAATGTGTCCTTTTGCAAAAAAAAAAAAAAAAAAAAAAAAAAAAG